TGATGGGGTCACGTGCTATTATAAAAAAGTCGTGTGAGAAAAACTGGTACAGAGTCAGTTCAGGGACTAGATGTGCCTTTGAAAAGACAAATCGATATTAGGCAAGGGCAGAGAAATCAAATTATCTAGATTTCAACTTTATATTTCAAACTTTCACGGAGACAATAGACCACGATGGAATGGTGTGTGATGTCATAGTTCATTTTGTATGTACATTTGGTTAAGCAACAATGCCCAGGCCCAGTTGTTTGGTCAAACGCTAGTTTGAATACTGTTATAAAGCAGTGATAAATCTGCTTTATATGAAGTCAAGCAGATGACCCTCCGGAGTGCAGATGGACCCCATCCAATCAGTTGAAGATCTTAAGAGCAAAAAGAATTTTCCATCTTCAGATCACAAAGAAACGTGCCAGACTCTTCACTTTCATTCTTCCCGTCACCTGTCCGTCAGATGTGGGGACACAGACTGCAGGGGTTTCCAGTCTACTTCCCAAACTCCAGCATTTGGACTTGCCAGATCCTCATCATCACACGAGTCAGTGCCTCAAAATAAATCTCTCTTTAGAGAAGTAAGGGGTGAGTGATTATGTCGTTCACTGGTTCTGTTTCCCGAGATAAGACTGGCGTCATCATTAACTTACATGTTTTAGAGTGTTACCACCAGTGTACATTTGATCAGACTCATCTTTTGCATAAGGATCCCTGGTGGTGCACATAGTTAAACGCTCAGCTGTTTACCCAAAACAGGTAGGCAGATTGAAACTACGCAGAGGCACCTGGTGATCGGTTCTTCTAAAGATCACAGCCCGGCAATGCCCGCGAGACTGCTCTACTCTGGCATGTGGGTCCTATGAGTGGGAAGCCAACGCAATGGCCCTTCACAATAACACCTTTCGTATGTAGTTTATAAGCAAAACGCAGGGGAGATGAGTTACCTGGCTAGCATGGAGATGAGCTTTCCCAAGGTGCTGAAAGATGTTCAGGTTACTCCTCCTTAGGATGCCGGAACCAGAGTAAAGAATATCAAGGCTGTAGGTAGATGCTGAGTAGGGATTACCTAGCGACAAGAAAATCACCCGGTGTCACTCAGGAACACCTTCAAGAGCACCAGGTTAGGTTGGGACAAAAGGAGACACTCTGGTTAGGTTAGGTGAGGTGAGGTTAGGTTAGGTTAGGTTACGTACGTTCTATGTAGCCAGTATAGGCTGAGGAGGAGCCGCTCTTCGAGAAACGGTCATAATTATGAACAATCATTTCCTTCAGAACGCGACGGACCATTTTGCTGCAACACACAAAAAGAAAAGACTGCATATTCATTGGCATGGTGGCTTCCGGAGCCTGGTTTGGAAAAACACCAAATCCTCAGTGGAAACCAGTGAGATCCAAATTCTCCGCGCGCCATACCACAATTGGGCTGGGGTGGGGGGAGGGGAAGAGGTGCCAGCTGGAGCTTCCAGAGCAGGGCTTCCCCCCCATTCCCTAGATACTTGGAATGGAGGGTGCTATTAAAGATGCTCAGCTACACGATGGCGTCAGCTGACCGGAGGACACTTCTCAGGGTGGAAGGGATATGCTCACTGAATCATCGTAATCCTGTTGTTAAATACTCTATACTTCTCTCTCTCTTTTTTAATTCCATATGCTTAGAAGGAAAGCTGCCCCTGCGTGGGGGAGGTTGTGCCGTTCTCTAAATGTTTTTCTATGCCCCCTCATTTTACCTCTGACAAATGATACTCAAAAAGCCAACTCCCATTGAGTCGATTCTGACACAGAGCAACCCTGTAGGGAAGAAAGGCCCTTTGGGGTTTCGGAGCCGGTCCATCTGAATGAGAGCCGCAGCCTCGGCTTTCTCCGTGGGATGGCCTGTGTGTCAAACTGCTGACCTTGCAAGGGGCTCACTGCCCCACCAGGGCTCCTTATATAATAGAAGCTTCCACAAATTCCTTC